TGAAATGTAATGGAAATATTTAGCCTAATAAAATAATTTTTCTCAGTGACTTTTTTTGGTGTGTTTTTATTTCTAACGTGACTACTATAAATGTACTGTGTGAAAGACATTTATCTAAACTGCTTTCCAATTAATTTTAAGATGGAGTTTGGTCTGTTTGCGTGTCATAAAGAATGTGGATAAAGTATGTTTTTAAACGCTGTTTCATGAGATATAATTTACCTACCATAAAGTTTACCCATTTAAAGTGTTCGATTCCGTGGTTTTTAGCGTCATGTACAGAGTTGTGCAATTATCATCCAGACTCAATTTCAGAGAATGTGAAAAAAAATATGTTTTGAAGTATATATTTAATGTTTTTGTAATTATATACAAAAATTGTATATATCATCCATAATTTCTCTTCATATAATTTTAAATAACATTTTCTTGAATGATTATATGGAAATAGTTATCACTTTATTGCATATTGAAGGTTAAAGGGTAGAAAATTAAATTTGTAGTTAAGTCAGTATATTTTAGGAAGTAAACAGAATTTAAAAATATTTATCTTTTACAACTTCTTACTGATATACAGTTTTATATATAGCTTAAAAGAGGTGCTAACCATATGATTAAAAACATTATAAAAATATCAGTGCTGATTTTTTATGCTAAGAAGCTGAAGTTTTGGACATTATTTTTGGAACAGTTGGAAAAGATAAATATATGAAGAAAATAATCTATTCATAGATGCAGCCAGTGTAGTGACAGCTGTCTTCTTATCAAAATTTTGTGAGATATGTAACAAACAATCAGCAAATTTCAGTGTGAGTTAATATTGTTTTTCCTTTTTCAGGTAAAATACCACGAAGATTTTGAAAAGACAAAGGGGAGGGGCTTCACACCTGTCGTGGATGATCCCGTGACAGAGCGAGTGAGGAAGAACACCCAGGTTGTCAGCGATGCTGCCTATAAAGGCGTCCATCCTCACGTCGTGGAGATGGACCGGAGACCTGGGATCATTGTTGGTAAGCTGGCGGTCTGTCTCGGCGGCTGTGCACAAAAATACTGTGCTTGCTTTAGCTTTTGAGTTAGCCTCTTTACTCATCTGACTTCTCCTCACCTGTTGGATGTGGTGCCCAGTTTAAAATGGACCACAGGTACAACGTTGTTCTTGTACCATATGGAATGGGATTCCTGGCATTCGCCAGATATCGGCTCAAATTCTTTCTATTGTTGGACGTTCTCTGTCTTTAATAGGGTTCTGGTCTTAAGAATGTTCCTACTTGTTAAACAAAGAAGCAGCCCAGACACGGGTGATCACAGTGGTTGAATGATTATTTTGCTTCCCTTTAGTGTGTGTTCTTAATCAGTGTGTCATTCTGTAGATATCGTATGCATGGGTGACAGAAATAACCATGTTATATTTAAGTCCTTTTATCACAAGTAGGCGTGCGAGGGAGACTTGGATGGTATTCCATAATACTAATAGCTCATATTTTTGGAATATTATTTCTGAACTGGGATAATTAAGAGCCATCTGAAAGTGCCATAATTAAGAGAGCAACCTTCTCTTCCTGCTGTCCGTTCCTCATAGTCAGGGGAAATCCTAGGAGGATATTTGTTGGATGATGGCTGAGATATCAGCAAAGATCATACTAAAGTATAAGGGAGGGTTAGGAAGGAAAGTTATTGATTTTTCAATATATATCAACAACTCAAGACCATTGTCTCCTTCAGAGCAGTTAGCCTCTGAATTATGGAGTCCAGTTAGGTAGCTCAAAGACTATGTTTGGTCACCATGGTATATGCCTCTCGGTAATCTCAGTGTTAGATCTTCTTCATCTTTAAAAGTAAGAGCTTGTTTTTTGGTACTAGTGAAAGGCCATTTAGAGGTGAGTTAGGTGGGGAAAGCATATATTTGACAGGATAATATATTAGCACAAAGCAAGGGTACCAAAGTCAGGGCACTAAGTGACTTGGGTGATTTTATCAACACTAAAGTGACTCTGAAAGTATTCTCCGAAGAAGGATTCTGAACATATTTGTAGGCAATAGATAGCTTTGTGGATCTTGCCCAAGTTGATTACTTAAAAGGATCACATTAAGATGGATGGATGAGTTGTGATGTTTTCATTAAAAGTAACACAGAATGAGAGAGCTTCATTGTTTTGTGCTAACATCTCATGAAGATAGTGCAGGGGTCTGATTCGTCTCCTTTAGGATGAAACTACTGAAGTCTGTGCAGCTTACTCCAAGTCCTACACAGAGCAGGGGCCGGGGATGATGGTGAGGTCATTGCTTAAAAACCATGAAACTGTCTAGACCTTGGGTTCTCATAAGTCATTACTCAGAACCTTCGAGATAGAAATTATTATTTTTTAAAAATATAAGATGTATGACTCTAAATTATTTACTTACTAGGCAACCCAGAAGTCAATTTATTTCTTCTTATTGAGAGAAACTGTTTTCCATTGAGCACTTGCCTATGAAAACACAAAATAAAGTACGTTCAACAAACATCACACTTTCTAATGAGCCAGCTTCCGTACCAGGTGTGGAAATACAAGTTTAGAAATTTTCTACGTAATTCAGACTGAGCCAAGTTGTGCTGTTTTTTTATTTTTGTTGGAAGCTCTGCTACTTACTTATGTAACCTTGGCCAAGCTACTCAATCTCTCTGTGCCTTAGTCTCCTCATCTATAAAATGGGGATAATAATAGTACCAATTTTAATGTGCTTGAAGCTTAAATGAGTTAGGTTATAAATGAGAATAGTGCCTGGCATATGGTAAGCACTACATAATATTAATTAAAAAAAGACCAGCAAATCTTCGTTTCCAGTTTATAAATCGATTGTTTTTGCTCCGGCTCCATTTGTGCCATATGTCCATAACTAGGGTCTTATTTTCCAGATGTTGGTCCAACGCGACACAGCTCATTGTAGGACCTGATACCTGTTAGTTGGAGAGAACAGTAAACTTGGAAGTTATTAGATTTGGATTTTGCCTCCAACTAAAATAGGACGAGGAGAAATTGGCTCACACAGTCTGATCACTGACTGTAGCAGGGGGTCCACTGAGAGCAGGAAGCTCTTCTGATTTCTCTTTCCATTCCTCGTTGTTCCTCGCTGGGCGCCTTGCTCATAACACTTTTCGAATAAGTGTATCATATTTATTAGCTTGTACTCACAGACTCAGAACGAAAACTGGGCTTGCCACTTCTCTACATTTCAAATATTTGTTTCTGTTATAGGGAGAGAAGTTTTCTGATTGTTTTGCTTTTTTTCTTTTTTAAACAAAACCTCTCAATCATTTCCTATGTATTACTCACGTGTCCGAACTAGTCACATGTCCTTAATAAGGAACTTGAATCAAACATTTTGCCTGTTTCAACATGAGTGGTTGGAAGTTCAGGGGGTCCCTGGGGGCCACACGTAGTTGCCTCCTGTGCGTGTGCGCTGGGTGGTGAGTCACAGGTACTTCAGCAAGGCCAGACAGGGCCGTTCTATCAAGAATAGATCAGGAGACTTTAATCTGATTATGAAATTTTCTTAACAGGTACTCATGAAAGCGAATATCCTTTCACTCCCTTCTGAAATCTGCAGCACAGTGGGTTTGCATGTCACATGTATGCTTTACTTAACTCTTTTTTGTGCTGGCTTTTTTTTTTTTTTTAAATTCCTTCTTGATGTGTCGATTTCTTCCTTTTGGTAAAAGACCTCAAAGTTTGGCGCACAGATCCTGGCTCCATCTTCGACATCGATCCCTTGGAAGACAATATTCAGTCTAGAAGTCTGCACATGCTCTCCGGTACTGCTGACATTTTGAGTTCTTCCCTGTTGTGGTTTTTCCTGAAAGCGAAGCTGCTATGAACTCGAGAGGTTCATCACGCCAACTGTGTAATGTAGTTTTAAAGTTGAAAATTCGAGAAACCAAAAAAGTGCTATGCTGCTTTAAAATACCATTCATCGTTTAGGAAAATAAAACTTACAAAAAGACTTTTTAATATACCCTAGACGAGTTTGTTGTAGATTCATTTAAAAAAGATTTTTATCAGCGAATATGATTTTATAGGCTTTCTGAATTTACAAATGTGGTTATTTGTATTGCGATAAACTGCTGAGACAAAAAGATTGGTTTCGTGAAATACACTGTTACAGTATTTTCAAGGTAGATTTAAAGAATTATATACAGGAGAGTAGAAAGGTTTTCTATAGAGCATCATACAAGTATCCTTAAAATTGATCTCTGAATTTTTATTTTATTTTTTTTATTAATTTTTTTGATCCCTGAGTTTTTAGATCATGTAACGTGAATAGTTTATATAGGAAGATTATTTGACCTTAGACTCTATGTTTATAATTAAAAGCAAAATATGAATGATTTGTGTATAGTGATAGCTCGATTTGACATTTCAGACTTTCTTTGACAGTATGCAGTTTTTTAAACAATATAAATAGATATATCATTTAGGTCTTGCTCCATTTTCTGATTTCTACTCTACTCATTAATTGTTGATGTTAATAAAATTGAATACCCAAGGCAAAGTAGGGATTTTGGTATTTTTATAGTCAATTTGATCCACATAAGTTAGCCAAACTATGTCATTTAATTTTCTAAAAATAAAGGAAAAGCAACAAATACTGTGTACCTGGTAATACTTGAAATGAATTACTTATAACCAGGCGTTATATTCAATGGAAATGTATTAGTTTGCCTGTGTTTTCTTAGTTCTTGTCAATTTCCCAGTGCTTAGCTCTCCTTTAGAATCTAGATTTAAAATGAGTATAGGTGACTTTTAAGTCATTTATGTGGTTGATGCAATGCATGGTAAAGTTTGGGAGTAAGTGACTAGAACTTTGTAATAGCTGAGATTTTGGATTATTATTTACTAAAAAATTGATTTTCTTCCCTGTTAAGCTTTTAAGTAATCTGTTTCTTCTGTTTTTTGAGTCCCTTAATCACAAGTATGAATATTTTCCCTCCACTATAGAAAAGGCGAGTCACTTTAGGAGACACCGGTCTCGATCTCATTCCAGCAGTACTTTTGGTACCGGTGTGGGAGATGACAAGTCAGAAATCTCCGAGATTTACCCTAGTTTTTCATGCTGCAGTGAGGTAACCAGACCGTCTGATGAAGGAGGTATCAAACATTAAGCACTTACAAAGAAAATTGATTCATTTTTTAAAATGTGTCACAAGAGTGCCTTTAACATTTTCTTCACCTTTGCACAAACATCTAGCTTGGGTGTATTTCAGAATTTAAAACTAAGTTTAGAAAGTTAATAGTCTTTTTTTTAAAAAAAAAAAACTACTAATTTGCATTTTTGCATGTTGTGTTTTATTCCCGTCTTACTTCACCATTGTCACTACAACTGGATCTGTAACGACGAAAGTGTCTCGGGATTTGCTATATGAGTCTGTTGCACGGGGTTACATGTGATGGGTGTGCACAGTCCTAGTGGAAACTTGGGTTCTGCGTAGTTTAAATCTGATTTCCATTAAGGTAAAATAAATCGATCTTGCAGTAATATTAGTGTGGCTAAGAGGTGACAATGAATTAGTGTGTGTTTAAATATTGATATAATATGCAGAGTTAGATATTGCCAAAAAGATATTAGGTTTAACACTTGGGATCTGAGAGTTTTTTTTTTTTTAATGGAAAATACAGTTGATTATTAATAATCTTCTATTTTATATCCCACTCTTTTCCTGTACCTTCTCCTGTTTTCTTCATCCAGGCTGATGGATTAGGTCTAGAACTTTTAGTGAATTTCTTTAGGATGTTAAACTAATCCTGCTTATAAAGCTGTCATTAAAGGTTAAGACTAAGGTGTCGCGCTTCCCCGTTGTAGCTACATTTTAGTGCCACAGGGAGGGGGAGAGGACTGAAGCCTATGAGAGCAAAAGGTCAACCACAAATATCATTTTGCTGAAATCCAGAAGGCAGGAAATTTTGAGGTTGAGCAACTTAACACCTTTGGGTAAAAAAAGTAATGTGTGACTGAGGAGATGCTGAAACTATGAAAGCTTTTGTAATAGTGTAATTGTTTTTTTGTGTTCTTTACAACAAAACATTAATGAGAATAAAATCAATGATATTCTATGCACCTTGAATTACAAATTGGGACTGGCCCTAGCTTGGTAGAAAGTTTTTTTTTTTTTGAGACAGAGTCTCACTGTGTTGCCCGGGCTAGAGTGCCGTGGCGTCATCCTAGCTCACAGCAACCTCAAACTCCTGGGCTCAAGTGATCCTCCTGCCTCAGCCTCCCGAGTAGCTGGGACTATAGGCATGTGCCACCATGACTGGCTAATTTTTTTTTCTATATATTTTTCGTTGTCCAATTAATTTCTTTCTAACTTTAGTAGAGATGGGGTCTCGCTCTTGCTCAGGCTGGTTTCAAACTCCTGAGCTCAAACAATCCGCCCGCCTCGGCCTCCCAGAGAGCTAGGATTACAGGCGTGAGCCACCGCGCCCGGCCAGTAGAAAGTTTTTAAGGGTTTCCTTTCTCTGTAAGTCTAATGAAATAATTATAAACTCCTTTTGCTTTCTTGTGGATAAAATACACGAGATCTCCCCTTTTTGCATCTGGTTTACTAACAAAGGGTTTGGGAACTTCCTGATTTTTTTTTTTTTTTTGGTGTTGGGGTTACTGATTTCTCCCTTCAGTGCCCTCCGTGGTTCTAGAGGTACAGAATAAAGTTGATGCTTGATGAGATAAATAAAACCCAAAGCAAATACAGGAACTAATTTTGATCAACCTTATCAAACATTACTCACCACCCAGAGTACTAACCACTATATGATCAAAGCTCAAACATTACTCGGTTCAGCATATTGGAGTAGACGTCTCTCCCAAATGCAAGGTGCCACAGAGGCTTTGCTTCATGAATGACGCTTTACTTTATGTCTGTACACACCCATGTGGCATTCATTTGTGTATTCACCAAATGTTTACTGAGTGCTCTTTGTGCACCAGCCAAGAGCTTGGATCTGGCAATGCACACAGCAGTGAGCAAAAGAGACATGCATCCGCTGTGAGGGGCTTAGAGTTGGGGGCAGGGCTGGCATTTAGCAGAGACTTACGCAAATAATATATAATTATGAGTAGAATTGGTACTAGGAGAGGATAGAATGGAGCTGCAGTAACAGGGCGATTCCAGCAGTCCCTGCAGTCAGGGAAGCCTTTTTCTAGGAAGGGATGTTTGTTTGCATTGAGATGTGAATGCTGATGGAAGTTAACTAGGCCTAGGGGCTTTGGGAGAAAGTGTTTCTGATAGGACAGAGCACAGCAGTGATATGTCACTGAGATGTGAAAATGGAGGTGTCAAGTAGGCAATGAGAGTTCAAAGAAAGCTGCCCTGGAGATCAATTTGCAAGGCATCCTCCCAGTCTGTGATTAGGTCTTGGATGAATCTGTAGAGACAGAGAATTCAGAGACATCCTTTCTTGGAGGCCTCGGCTCCCTCTGTACCAGCAGACTATGCCCAGGACCACTCGTTTCATTGCTTTCTCTCCTCCAAGGCTATAAAAACCCTGATCGCTGACTCAGATGATGACTTCCAAATTATCTCCAGTGCAGCCTTCTCCACTGAACTCTAATTGCCTACTTGACGCCTCCATTTGAACATCTGCTGTTGGTTTATCACCTTTTTCTCTTCTCAAGCCCACGTTCCTTCTTTTTTTCTAAATTATTTCTAGCAGGCCGAGGTGGGAGGATTGCTTGAGCTCAGGAGTTCGAGACCAGCCTGAGCAAAAGTGAGACCCCCGTCTCTACTAAAAATAGAAAAACTTAGCCCGGTGTGGTGGCCTGCGCCTGTAGTCCCAGCTACTAGGGGGGCTGAGACAGAAGGATCACTTGAGCCCGGGAGTTTGAGGTTGCTGTGAGCTGGGCTGACACCACGGCACTCTAGCCCGGGCAACAGAGCAAGACTATGTCCCTCCCCCCCAAAAAAAGATATTTCTGGCAAAAGACCCTATACTAAGCCAAAGTGAATGAGAAAATATCTCCATTGGAAGAAGGTATACTTCTTGCATTTATACTAGAATTTTAGTAACACGTGGTTATGAGGGAATAATTAAATTTTTTTAAATGGGGAAATTTTAGACTCTAGGAGGTGGCAGGAGGAGATTTTTGGCAGGCAGGGATGGCTCAGTGACTCAAATAATGCCTTGTATGAAAGAGTTGACTCTTTGGAGTCATTTATAAATATCTGTCATTCTCGGACATCTGTTATGAGGCCAAGATGCTCTGTCTTTAGGGACATATCCTATTTTAGAAAACAGATATTGAGGCAGGAAGCAAAAGTAAAGATGCATCAGTAACTTTTATAACATAAACACAAGTAATGGTGTATCCACAAGACATCTATGGTAATTTGAAAAGATTTTAGGATACATGGGAATATGCTAATTTTATTTAAGTGAAACAAAGCACAGTCTACCAATTGGCACCATGTGTCTATATTCAAATGATTAGTGACATACCAGACCAAATAAGTTCAAAACCACCTCCCCACTCCCTACTCCCCACCTTCCTTCCAGAAATCTGCTACTTTCCCCCCGGGGTTCCCTGTTTGCTAAGAGGCAGCTGCAACTTTCCAGGTGCTGAAGTCAAACCCTTTGCAGTCATCCTCAACTCTTGTCTTTTACTCTCACCCACATCCAATCCATTGGCGAATCTTGTCAGCTCTACCGTGACAAAAATATCCAGAGTCTGACTGCTTGTCCCCATCTCCACTGTGGCCAGCCCTGTGTCAGCTTGTGCCACCTCTCATTTAGATCACAATCACCTGCTGACTGGGATCCTTGTCTTTGCCTTGGCCACTCCGTGCCCTGCCCACCTCCTGCCCTGGTCTGTTCTCCATCTGGCAGCTGGAATGATCTTCTTGAAACCTCAGTCAGATCAAGTCACCCTTCTACCATTTCATTCTGAATGTAACCCAAATCCATACCATGGCATACAAGACCTGCGTCCAATCTTGGGCTCTGGCATCTGCTCTGAAGTCATTTCCTACCATTCCCAGTACTCCCGTTCACTCCCACCATACTGGTCTCCTTGCTTTACTCAACCTTTCCAAGAAAGCTCCCCCCAGGGCCTTTGCACTTACTGTTCCCCCTGCCCAGAACACTCCCCTAGCTCAGATCCTTGCTTCCCTAGTGCCATTTTTCTTTATGTTTCAGCTCAGATGACACTTTATGAGAGAGACCCTGTCTCCCTACCAGAGATAACACAGCATCCCTCCTGTCACTAGCTGTCCCCTAATTTACCCTGCTTTCTTTTCCTTCCTAGAACCTGACACCACCTGAGATACTCTATATTGATTTGTTTATTTGTCTGTCTGTCTCTGCCTCACTAGACTATAAGCCCTCCGAGAGCAGGGATATTAACTCCTTTGGTGACTATTCTATCTCCAGCTCTTAGAAAGAGCACTCAGCTAATATTTGGTGAAGGAACGAAACAGCCAAACTCATATTTTAAAAACTAGGACCACAGATATAAATATATGTGAGTATAATTATTTTTATAAAATGAAATTCTCTTGTGGAAGGCTTTCGAGAACATTCTTACATTTTTGATGATCTTTTGATGTTTCAATGACATTAAAGCATAACTGAAAAAACAACCTAAAGTGGAAACATTCCCAGTGGGTTTTTTTTTTTCTCCTATAAAGAGTTGTATACATGACTTCTTGGTGGCTTTGAAATTCAGGGTCCCCTTTGAAACGTGTGCTCTGCTGGGCTCTGGTAAGAAGGTGCTAATTGACTGTATAGAAGGAGACTGTTATGGTGATGACAACTGTTTGATGAAAATCTTTAGTGTCTTTAGCAGTAACGGTCAATCATATGCATTTGTTTAAATTCTATCCTAGAAATTGAAAAGAATTTTCAATAATACTTGTTAGGGGTAAGATGAAGAAAAAAGAAAATGTGAAGTATTTAGAAATGCTATTTTTTTTTCAAGATTTTGTGGATTCTTTGAAATTTATTTTCTTTTTTTCTTTATTTTTTTAAAGTAGTTAGAATTTTTGGTTCATGATCATCTTCCTAGCACCACTGCTGTAATAGATTATTTTAAGGATTGATTTTCTTTTTAAAATTTTTTTTAAATTGAAAAATAATAATTGTACGTATTCAAAACC